GTGCCCGAACTGCATTTGCAAACTGTTTCTTGGCCCATAGTGCAATTGTAACTGTTTTTGTGACTCCCGTGTAGTTACCCCCTTTTTTTTTTTCTTTTTTTTTTTGTAAACCTCATGACCAAGCGGTCTTGCTTAAGGAGGTGATATGAGAAGCCCCTTAAGCAGGACCGTGTTGCTGAAGGCTGGGGAGCATCACCTGCTGGAAAATGGGTCCAGCGTCCCTTTCTACATAGTAATTCCAACCAAAAAAAAATGGAAAAAAGGAGTTGTAATGATGAGCAGCATTGATTGCTCTCTAGGGAGGGGATTCACTATCCAGTATGTGAATCCACTTGTTTTGTCGTGTACTCCTTCAGTGGACGATAAGCTGCCAGCGGTCCCGCACTCCGTAAAACAAGATGGCTCCTTGAACAATGACTGTGGGAGAGCACTAAAACCCCTTTAGGAAGTCTTAGAGGGCCGGCTTTCGACCTTATGTTTTTGACACCCTCCCGCTCCTACCCCATTGCCGATGATTCCGGGGCACATTCCTGACCCGGTCGGTGGGGATCCTTGCCCACGCCTGCCTTTGAGGAGAGGGAGGAGACTAATGGGAGAGAATGATGGGTGTTTCCTAGGGAATGGGAAGGTTGGGTGAGCGGGAACAGAGAGGGAAAGGGAACAGGTCTGGGAGCAGAGAGGGGTGGGAGGGTGGGGGTTGGCGGAGGAGAAGCTTGGGGTAAGGGGAGTCGGGAGCCCTGAGGGGGTGGTGTTGTGTGTACTTGTACGCAGTTCGTAGGTTGGAAATCAATTTTGAAGCGGAAAAACATTGCCATTGGTTTTCCGTGCTTTTTGTGAAGGTTTCCACACCAGATTGTATAAAGGGCTCAGCTCACACATTTATTTTGTCGGGATCAATCCATATCACATCTCCTGATTGCAAACAAGGGTGATGCCAGCTGCGAAACCCTAAACCCTAAACCCTTTGTGAGGAGAGCCGAGGGCTGTAGCCTGCCAAAACTTTCACATTCTACAGTTAGACTACCAGTACGTTTCCCAGTCATTTTTTTCAAGGTCCCGGCTTTGAGTGCTGCCACAACTTCCGGGGCTCGGCCTGCACATGTCAAAATGGATATTGGCGCCAGCCAAAAGAAGGCCCGTGCTGCTTCCTTTTTTTCGGGGGGAGGGGCAGGGTGTTTCCAGCCCCACAGAAAGGTGCCTCAAAAGTACTGGTGGTTTAGTAAGCTTCACATCTCACGGTGCTTTTACTTCTCGCCACTGAGTGAGTTGAGTGAGAGGCTGAAGTAAATAAACCACCAGTACCTACCCAATTTCTCGTACCACCCGGGTTAGAATGAATTTGGACCGGAGGGGCAGGCAGGTCCGGCTAGCGCGTTAACGGCCACCCCAACGGATAGATCCTGGCTGTTTAACATCCACTGAACCAGGTCATTAACTGTCTAACAATCTCAACCTGAGGAATAAAGGAGACAACTTGAAGGGCCCCGACAACTAAAAAGTTTGGGGGAGAGGCAGGAGAGTCCGAAACACTCTAACATGATTCCGCATTTAACATCGAATGACAATGGCTGTGCAATGGAATCAGACTGATGAATTAAGGATGGACTGTCCCGAGGGCACTTTCACATTCTCCCAATCCAAAATGTCTTCTTTCTTGTTTACCTCTTTTCAAGAAGCACATGTCAGTGATGTCGCCATCGGAAGCACGTCATATGGTTGCACTTAAACCACCAGTACTTGGCCCAGCTATCGGCCACACAAAAAAAAATAGAGTAGAAACATTTCTAGCCGGATGAATTTGGGCGCACCTGTCATAGCCCGTACCTTTCCTGAAATCGTGGCTCGTTAACTGGCACTACTTTAGGAAGTACTGGTGGTTTAAAATTATGACCCACTTAAGAAGTAACAAACCTACTAATAACATGGAGGCAAATGCTAAATCCTGGCAAAGTGTACGACACAGCACAAAGCTTCACTCCAGAAATCTCCTCACCACAAAAAAAAAAAAAAGTCTTACAGACTTTAGTTACTGTCCACATGAGGAACTAAGTCTTCCAAAACACAAAATGCTCCAATCAAAGTGTCTCCTTTCCTGCCCTCCTTGTCCTAGTTCGATACCATTGTCGTCTGTAAGAAGTAAAGTTTAAGCATGGCACGGAAAGTGCTAGACGCCACGCCCTGGTGGTCGAGCTAAGAACTACAGACTTGGCTGACTAGCTAAGAAATATAGACTAACTTGGGTCTAACCCCCTACTCCTGTTCTGCTAAGGACAAAATCCATCTAAAAGTGTCCCCTTTCTATCCCCCTTTTCCCCTTCCATGTCCCCCTTTTCTTGTCTCCCTCCCTTTTTTCCAAATTTCCACTAACTCCTGTCCTGGGAAGGCCAAACTCATGGCTTTGCAATAGAATAACTATGCAAGGATATGGATAACTCATGTCAAGGTAAGAAGTTTAACTTACCGAGAACTACTATAGCTCACTGAATGTCATGAAAGATGCACCTCTTCACTGAGGATACGTCTTTTCTGTCCCCTTCGTTTCGATCTCTCTTTCTTTCCCCCGGGCTCTGTCTCGTCTCCCTTTCTTGTGGTACCTCTTGTCCTGCAGGTCTGGAACTTGAAAGGTCAAACCTTTATAATCCTGCTGATGGCAAATGTAATCGTAAGGCGATGAAAAAGTAAACCAAGTAAGAACTACTATAGCTCAACGAATGTCAATGACATGAAAGATGCACCTCCTTACTGAGGATACCTCGTGTCTATCCCCTTTGTTTCCATCTCTCTTTCTTTCCCCCGGGCCTTGTCTTGTCTCCCTTTCTTGTGGTACCTCTTGTCCTGCAGGTCTGTAACTTGAAAGGTCAAACCTTTATAATCCTGCTGAGGGCAAATGTAATCGTAAGGCGATGAAAAAGTAAAACAAGAAAATAATCATTATTACTATATCTATGAGCATGAGCTGAGGCATCACAATAAGGAAGAAACCAAGCTAAAGCTCAAGAGTATCTCCTTTAAATCTATCCCCTTTTCTGATTTCGTAAAGAATCAACACAGATAACATCAAACCCCTTAACAAAGCGAAAGGGCGCATCTGCACCACTCAAGGTGTCTCCTTTTTGTCCCCTTCTCCTTTTTTGCATCTCCTTTTTGATATCCACTCTCTTGGAAAGGAATAACTTAGAATAAATGATATCAAGGTAAGGCCTTGAATGACTAGCACAAACTATTGATGCCACTATAAGAACAAGCCCCCTTCAAAATGTCACCTTTGATGTCTCCTTTCTCCTTGTCAAAATTTCCTTCCAATCTTCTGTATCCCACCTGGTTGGGAATGGACCACCTTTTTTAGGGTTCTGGCCAGAACTGCCTCCCACTGAATAGGGCAAAAATAGTATTTTGAGAGCCCTTACCCTTTCAAAATCACTCTTTTTTTGCCTCCCTTGAGTCCCTTCTTCTCCTTGTCTTCCTATTCCTCTCACACCTATTTCTTTCACTTCCAGTCGCTAAGGGACCAATGCCTGGCATGGAAAGCTAACCTATATCTTCAGGGGCCCAGGATCAGTACTTACTACTAAGTTACTTAAAGTCAGAACTAGCATAAATTGAGGATTTTGTTCTAGTATGAAAGTAGTATCAACTAGTTCCAAGCCATGGTTCTGTTCTAGAACTCAGTCCGCCTGAGTGATTGTCATCAGGAGGACTATTCCTTGTTATAGTGCCGAGTATGGCTTGGTGGTTAAGAGCATGGTCAGAAAGCAACCTCAATTTCTGTCCTGATGCTCTCTTGTTATTGCTGCTTCTCTCTCTGACGGCATCGGATACCCTGATCTCTGGTTTGAATGCCGATTCTTCTCCACGCCAATATCCATGTACGTGAGTGGACAAGGTACAAGGGGGTAAGGCGCGAGGTGTAATCTTACATTTCAATTCTTGCTGCATGTAATGTCCTCCGCGATGTTATGCGAGCGTAGGTGTTGACTCCATACTAGGCAGGCCCTGCTCTTTTCCGTTGTTGTCAAAGGGTGGAAAGCACGTAACTTTATTGCATCCATCACCGTCAGTAGGATTCGAACTCTTGGCCTGTCAGATCATTGGTGTATACCACACAGCCACATGCAGGTGTTGACTCCATATGCCAGCTGCTCACTCACCAATCTGCATTCACTCAAGTCCACTGAGGAGCACCTGAGATGACACACTCAGCAAATGTGCCTCAAGGGGCCAAGGGCCAGATCAACACTTAGGCTATAGCTGGAAGAAAAACCTTCATTGCACCTGATCTCCACAGCCATGCCTCCTGAGTTCTAAGCTTCTAACCCTGTCTATGGCTAATTGAGTCATTATGAATGACCCTATGACCACATCTGTGTTGTTCTGAGTTCTCTCTCTCTCTCTCTCTCTCTCTCTCTCTCTCTCTCTCTCTCTCTCTCTCTCTCTCTCTCTCT